GTATTCTAGACATGATAACTATCTTGTAATGAAATGAGGGAAATTAGGGTTACCCGAAGTTTAAACATTACGGTTATTAAAGGATAAATTGGAACATGATAATTGGAATTAAGTAAAACTTAAAAATAGGACTTAGATATGTATAAGTAAAACTTTATTGATAGATTGAGCTTTATCTAGAAATCTATTAACTTGAATATGATATAATAATAATTAAGGGAAATAGAGAGGGAACCTTTAATGATGTAACCTGAAATATACATAAATTATTTTGTTATTGGACTATTGATTACCCTGTCACCACGCTGCTTCCTAGTTACTTCCAGGGCTTTTTTGCTCATAGAACGCCCAGAACGGAGTTCCAGCACCTTTTTGGGATGGAACCTTATAGAGTAGGCAAGGCAGGTTGTATGATGTGTGTGAGTTCCGGCACCTTTTTTTTTTCAAAGAAAAAAAGCACTGGTTACTTGAAAAAAATGAAAAATTAATAAAACTTGTTATAATAAAAAAATCATATCAACGTCAGTTAGCTAAAAATAAAACCATTAATTTATGCTGATACTGTATATTTCAATCTTATGCTTTAAAAACTGAAATGTAAGATATGCCAACTATGATCTGTGAAACCCACATTGAGGAAAAATAGTATCAAACCCTATCATTGAATTAGCAATTTGTAGACTGGTCAATCAATCTAGGGAGGTATATTATCTCTTTAGAGCAAAGATCAAAGATGTGATTGAGAGCTTACTAAAATAATCAAGCCTATAGATTACTATCCCCTTCTCTTCTTTCATTTGGGAATGAATGATATGACAAAAAGCCTGAAAACCAAAAAGGTAGGAACACACATGGTGTTTTCATCTGTACTTCCAACAAAAACTCAATGTCCAATGAGAGAACAGAGAATTTTAGAAGTAAACTACATAGACTTCTTTTTCCCACACCTCCCAGTGTTGTTCGGTCTCTCCTCAGTTTTTTCAAAGTGTATGCACAGGGCTGCAATTGGCCCTTTTTGTTTTCCTGGAGCAGGATCACACCTATAGCTACATCGCTAGCATCATCCTGAATGATAAATGGTTTCTCTGGGTCTGGGTGTCTCACTACCAGTTTTGCAGAAAATAGCCTTTTCAACTTTTCGAATGTGGCTTGACATTCCATAGTCCACTTTAATGGTTGGCTAGGTTTCAGTTTATCTACTCTTTTGGTTTTCAACAAGAGGCCCAGTCTCTTGCAGCCAGTTGCAGACCCTTCAGCACCCTAGGGAGAGATTTCTATGGATTTTATCATAGATTTTATCATAGAACTGGCAGAAAGCATGGGGAACACCATTATTTGGGTGGGGACAGACCTACTTTCAAAACAGCCAGACCAAGGGGTCCCTTACTTGGACACCTCTGCTTCACTGAGACCCATGGTGCGGTGGTACTCAGTCTCTATCAGCAGCAACTCATGTGAGGTGATGGTGGTCAGTCACTGTCAGCAGCAGCTCACATGCGATAATGCTGGTCAGTCATTAGGCAGTCAATTCACAAGAACATCCTTTGTTCTGTCTCCTCTTCTCTCTCTGGTCTTGCCCCCCCTGGAACCCTTCCTTCTCTATTCCCTTCTCTCCTCCAGATTTGCCCCACAGAAACCTCTCTCTTTCCCCTTTCCTCTTCTCCAGACTTGCCCCACAGAAACCTCTCTCTTTCCCCTTTCCTCTCCTCCAGACTTGCCCACAGAAACCTCTCTCTTTCCCTTTTCCTCTCCTCCAGACTTGCCCCACAAAAACTCTTTCCCTTTTCCTCTCCTCCAGACTTGCCCCACAGAAACCTCTCTTTTTCCCCTTTCCTCTCCTTCAGACTTGCCCCACAGAAACCTCTCTATTTCAGCTTCCCTACTCCGTCTGGCTTTAAACAGAAGCAGAAGAAAAAAACAACCAACTTCCTTTCTTGCTCTCCCTCCATTTTTCCCCTTTTCTCCTTCATGCCACCACCAAACTCCTCCCCTTCCTTTCCAATCATTTACTCTCTTCTCCCCACCTCTTCCCTCTTTCTTCCAGCCAGCCGCCCTCCGAGCTGCAGCAGAACCTCACAGCCAGTGCCAATCCTGCCTCAGCTCTTCTCTCTGCTGCAGTTACTTTTTCGATTCAGAGGAAGCCCTGAACTAGTTTTTTTAAACCCACTGGGCACACCCATCTTTCAGGATTAGTTTATTAGTTCTGCATCATAAAAAATGTACAAAATTGGGTTAACTTACTAAACTTTCAGCGAGCATGTCATGCCAACAGAGCTTTGGCAGCCAAAGTAACAAAAATGGACATGTTAAAACACCCACCTTGTGCCTTCACCTCGGCCAGACTACCACTTCCCTGTCCATGATGACAAAACTCTCCTACTGCTGCATGGGCAGCGCCTCTCCTGAGGTGAGCCCGCGTGTGCCTTCACATATGGTCTGACAATGTGGAAATATGAGTGTTCAGAGAAATACTCCTTGAGAAGAAGAGTGCATGCATACTCCCCCACTTGGCCAGGGCTTTTTCAGCCCCATCCTCTGCTCTCAAGGCACCAAACATCCTGCTTCCATTGAGACTATGGTGGGGGGGGTGAGAACAATAGCCTAGCAATGGAGACATGGAAGCTGTACGCTGGCCAATGCATGCATGCATGCGTGAAGTGGTTATCAACGGCAGCAGCAACAGCAGCCTCGTGCAGTTTGGCCAGTGTCAATGGAGGTGGGGGAGTGGTTGCTTCCTGAAGATGGGGACCAGAGTCAGCTGCAGCAGGCAGGGGATAGCCCAGTGATGGCGATGGCATGCATGCCCACAGAGAGGGCTCTGCGTGCCCCTTGTGGCATGCGTGACATAGGTTCGCCATCACAGGCTTAGGCAGTTTTCCCAGCACACTTGCTGTTCTGTTAGAAATCTGATCAAGTGGAGCACCAAAGATCTTTTGTTTGCCAATCTCAGGGGTCCCCTTGGCTTCCAGAGATGAAGCAAAAAAAAAAAAAAAGCAATGCCTATAGCACCGGTCAAAGGAGATGCAAAATGCACAAGACTGAACATTCATAAGACTCATGTATGTCTATACTATATAACAAAAGTTCCAAAGCATTAGTATCTCTGCATCTTTACTTCATCAATATTCTGTTGACTAACAGTCACATTAAGTGGATAAGGGTGAACTAGAAAAAAGTTGGCAAGCCATTGTGATACATTTTTTACATTTTGATGCTAAAATTGCTCATGTTCACCAAAGTACTGACTCCTTGTGGGGGCTTGGGTTTCTCGGCTCCGTCTAAGTGGAAAAAAGCAGAGGCACAGCAGTGCCTTCAATAAAGCCAACATATGTGAGCAAGCTGCACACCCAGGTCTTCTTGAGAGCATTCCTGCTGCTGTGTCTCTGCTTTCTTTGTTTCAGACGGAGCCAAGAAACTCAAGCTGCTGCCGCCACTTGAGTGGGGAAGGCAGCAAGGAGAAGAGTGGTCAGGATTTGTGCCAGCCAGCCAGTCAGGCAAGACGTAGATCGGGTGGGTTGTGTGGATGGCTCAGTAGGGGGGATCATGGCCGCTCAAGTGGCTGCCGCTGCCAGTGGTTTTGAAGCGCCCCATAGGTGCTGAAACAGTTTTTATCCAAACGGAGACCTGACAGGGACTGAAAGCTCCTCATGGCTGCCAATGCAGAAGTCTCCATTTCTCAAGTGCCCCTTTCCAGGCATACAGAGCTTGCAGGCTCTGTCTGGTCTCGGTTTGGTTAAAAAGTGTTTTAGTGCTTATGAAGCACTTCAGAGACTGGAAGCTCCACATGGCTGCCAATGCACACTTAGAAATGGAGCAGAAGGCTCTGTTTCTCAAGTGCCCCATTCCAAGCAAAAGTGGATGGGTGCCTGAACCCATGTGATATTATGGGCACCCAGGGGCTTCAATCATCTCTCCTATCCCTCAAAGGCAGAAACCACAGCAGAGAGGAGACAGATATTTTCAAGATAAATGAGTCTGATGAAGCAGGAAGGGAGGGGGAAGTATGAGGTATCTTAGTGGGTCAGGGGGGCTTGGGGCCTGTTCCATCACTAGCCCCCCATATGGCCTTCCCCACCCTGAGATACCTTGTGTTCACTTAACGAGCCACAAGTGTCTTAATGAGCAGGGAGTGATCTTGTTCAAAATATGAGATTCACTCCCACGAATTCTCTAGTTATGAGTGGAATGGGCAGGCTCAATTACATTTATAACTCGAGGATTACCTATAGTGAGAAAACAGTAAACAGGGTTTCTCCTCGTTTCCCCTATTTTGAACTAATTATAGTTACAGATTTTTTTTTATTTGGGACAACAAGCAGTAAAGGAGAAGGAAACATATTTGTGCAGTGCATTATGTTAAAATCAAATGGAACTGCCCATATCTCAACATTTGTCCAAGAAAATTATAAAGCTGTTAGAGATGCATATTATCTCAATGTTGAAAGCTGTGTTCCAAACTCTGGCGCCATTATTCAGTATATGGGTTGGATTTCAGAGGAAAGGGCAGATTTTGGTAAATATAACAAAATATGGTTATGAATATATTAAGAACATACATATGGTAGGTCATTATAAACTTATTTATACTATACTTTGTTGCCGATATGGGCCTTTAGTGACATAATTGCTATTTATCACTTGATTTTTAATTTTATAGTCAGTTTTATTTTTTTCTGTAAAAGCTGATGCAATAAACAATTCCCTTCAGACTGTAAATAATATTTCTGATTCCTGATTATTTGTGAATTTGGGTTCAGTTCTCCAGTTAACCAGAAAACATATTGAATACTATTGGACCAATTATTATTTTTTTTCTTAAACTGAGCTGCTGTTAGAATTAAGCTGACTATACTATAATGCTGTCAAAAGGTTGGCTCTGTGAAAAATCACTGCTTATGTTACAATAGTATATGATGAATTTCTATAGATTTTGGGCATCAACTTAAAAATAATAAATTTATTAAAAAAATAAACATTTTTATGTATATATATCTTTCCAGATATTTCCAGGGCTTATTCTCTCTGACATAAAGCCTGCCAAAAGAATGAAGTTCAAGACTGTTTGTTATCTCTTAGTTCAGCTGATGCACTGTCGCAAAATGTTTAAAGCTGAAATTCCCTTCTCCAACGTGATGACTTGTGAAGATGATGACAAGGTATATATGTTTAATTCAACAAATTTAAAGAATAATAAATGAATATGCATATGGTTCACAAACACACACACATACACATACACATACACATACACAAGCTTAGATAGAGAGGGGGGGCAGAACTTAAGTACAGAAAATTTACAAGAAAAAGTAAAATATGCACTATGAAAAAAGTAATATTTAAGAATATATTAACTTACATATAATTTTTCACACCCAATTCAATATGTACACTGATACACAGCCAGTTCATAGATAAAAAGTGAATATACATTTTCAATCCATTGTTTAAAATTCAGAATAACAATATTTTTCCATCATAACAAAAGTCTTTTTAATACAATCCAGGCAAAAATCCAAATTATTCATTAATAGGTCAACATCACATCCACAGTGTTAAATCTTATTTTCTTTCCCAAAACTATTAACAAACTTATAAATGAAAAGCCAACATTGAACAAATTTGGAACATGCTCAAATAACAGGAATCTAAATATTTTCCGCTATTACTGGTACTCTGCAGATGATAACTAACACTAAAACATTCTCAATTAGCCACATTCTAAAAGAGCCAGTTTTGTATAATAGTGAAAGTATCAGGCTAGAAATTGGAAGAGTTCCAGTGAGTGGATTCAATCCCAGCTTAGGCACATTGGGCCAGCCACTTTCTCTCAGCCATAATAAGCAGGCAATAGCAAATCACTTCCCAAAAATTGTGCAAAAAAAAGTTCCAGGCAGTGACCCGGTCAAAAACTTTGAATATGTGCACATACATGTGCACGTGCACACACACACACACACACACACAGAGAGAGAGAGAGAGAGAGAGAGAGAGAGAGAGAATTTTGTATCTGAAAATACCATTTCTGGACTGCCACCCTGTGATAGAATTTACAATTGCAATATTTTTTAACATCGAAATGGCACCTGTGGCATTTGTCAGCCTTACAGACACCCAATTTATAAGATGAGATCACCAATTCCTTTTAATAAGATTAAAAGTCTGCAATTAATCTTTATAAATATCTGTTATTAATAAATCAATTTCATATACATATTTTAAATACTTTTGACTATATAACAAAAATAATATAGCCATGGTAGCACAGTTGTTAGAATGCAGTATTGCAGGCTGCCCATAGCCTGGAATTCAATCCTGACTAGCTCAAAATTGACTCAGCCTTCCATCCTTTGGAGATCGGTGAAATGTGGTCCCAGATTATTGAGGGCAATATGCTGACATTTGTAAACCATCCAGAGAATGTTGTAAAGCATGAAGGAGCAATATATAAATCTAAGTGCTATTGCTATTCTTAAATAATATTTTGGATTACTGTTTGTTTTGCATTTGTACAGAAAAGGAATAAATAAATCCTTCTGTCACTGGAAATACAACTAGAATAAGATTAAATTAGCCATAATTAAAATGTAAGCCTTTGCAATATTCAAAAGTTGTAATATTCTGGATGTATATTAATTATTTGACTTAGACACAATTTAATATTTTTGGATTCAACATATTTGAACTATTTACTACATGAAAATTTATGACTGAATAATAGAAATGGATTCTCCATGCCCTGAATATTGCCAACAAATTAGTTGTCCAACATTGGTAAATGTATTAACCTAGTTGACCGTGTATTGTCGTATAGAAAATTATAATTACATTGAGATGTGCCTAACTTTCAGTATATAGTGTTATATAATGTTTCATATCATTCCAAACTTTATTGCAATGCATCAAATATTTTTAAAGACACTGTGATTTTATCTAAAATATTCATTCACATTTATTTACTCCAAGAACTGAACTAGAACAACATCTGTCCATCCTAGATGAGTTCACAAGGAACTCATATATTACATGCCGAAGTTCTGAAGGAACTGACATATGTCATCTGCGGATGGCAGTAGACCAGGACCTGCGGATGGCAGTACACCAGGTGGTGTGAACGGCAGTAAACAGGGTGGTATAGATTGCAGTAGACGAGGGACTGCAAACAGCAGTAGACCTGGGACTGCGAATGGCATAATTACCTAGAACAGAGAAGGTAGAAGCATAGCTAACAACAAAGCACATCCACCAACCATAAAAGAGGGATTTTCAAATAACAAATTCATGGAACAGGTGACAGAGACTGCTGTGGTATGCAATGGATGTTCCGTGTATGTGCTTATTCCCAAAAAACATCCAAATTATACATGCATTAAATGTAAACAAAGTGAACTACTAGAGGAAAAAGTAAGAGATCTAAAGCAGGGGTGCCCAACCCCCGGTCTGTGGACCAGTACCAGGCTGTGGCATGCCAGCAACCTGTCCACACAAACAAGCAAAGCCCCATCCAGGAGATGCAGGCAGCACACAAAACCATGCAGCCTGTGGTCTGTGAAAAAACCTCTCTCCCTGGTGCCCAAAAGGTTGGGGACTTCTGATCTAGAGGCAACTCTAGCCAAACTCCAACCTATGCAAGAAAGCTATACCCAAACTGAATCAAACAGTGGACAAATAACTTCCAGAGGATTTGACCCTACCAATAAACTCTTGGAGGAAGACAAATGGAGGTATGTCACACATAGAAGGAAATACAACACTCAAAGGAAGAAGCAGCAAACATCTTACAAAACCCTATTGCCCAATCTAACCCGATGAGAAGCAGCCCCATTAAAATTGAGCAATTGATTTCTCCCCCTAGATACACAGACCCACAACCTCCCCCTCAAAGAAAACATGCCGACACCTAGCAAAGAAACAACACCAAATATCCCTAAAAAAGTCACATCAACAAATATACCTGAGACAAACAGAAAAGCACCTCAGACTGCACACACACAAAGCTCCAAAAAGGTGAGTGCTGGTGATAGGAAATTTTATTCTCAAAGGAACAGAACCAGCCATCTGCAGACTGGAAATATAATCCAGAGAGATATGTTGTCTCTCAGGAGCAAAAATAAAAGATGTGGCTGAGAACCTAACCAAAATAATTAGCCCACAGATTACTACCCTCTGCTACTCCTTCACATTGGGACGAATGACACAATAAAGAACCTGAGCACAATACTAAGAGACTATAAGCAGCTAGGCAATAAAGTTAAGGAGTTAGTAGCATAAGTAATGTTCTCATCAGTACTCTCAACAAAAGGCCAACACCCACTGAGGGGAAAAAGAATTCTAGAAATAAACCATTGGCTAAAGGGTTGGTGTCACCAAGAAAACTTTGGTTTCCTGGACCATGGACTATATTTCCTATGCGAAGAACTCTTTGCAAGGAATGGCTGTACCTCATGAAAACAGGGAAAAATGTACTCAGAAAAAGACTGGTCCAACTCTTTAGAAGGGCTTTAAACTAAAATTGAGGGGGAAGAGTGACCAATCATTAAGATCTCTAGAACACAAAACCAATCATAAATCCCAAGAAAACAAATCAAATAAAGCGGTAGGGAGTGATGAGAAAAAAGAAAAAAAATCAAACAATCATCAGGAAGTCCAGGAAATATACCCATGGCAGACATAAAAGTCTTAAATGTTTATATATTAATGCTCAAAGCTTGGAGAACAAACAGGGTGAACTAGAAGCAACAGTACACAAGGGTGGGTATGACATAGTTGGCATTACAGAAATACTGCAAAAGAAAAACTAGAAACAAAATTTAAAATAAGCAAGAAAATGGTAAGAGAACACCTATTCGACCTTGACGAATATAAATCACTAGGACCCAACAGATTACATTACAGAGTTCTGAAGGAACTGGAAGATGTTATCTCAGAAACATTGCACCATATCTTTCAAAAATCCTGGAGCACCGGGGAAGTACCTGAGGATTGGAAAAGGGCTGATGTGGTTCCCATCTTCATGAAAGGGAAAAAAAAACAGACCCAGTCTGACATCAATACCTGGGACGATTCTGGAAAAGATAATCCAAAAACAGATCTGTGAACAATTAGAAGCAAACAAAGTAATAACTGGTAGCCAGCAAGGTTTGTTAAAAACAGATCATGCCAAACCAATCTTATTTCATTCTTTGATAAAGTGACCAAATTAGTAGACCATTGAAATGCCATGGACATAGTATATTTAGATTTCAGTTAGGCATTTGACTAAGTAGACCATAACCTATTGCTTGGTAAGCTAGAAAAAAGTGGAATAGACAATATCACCACCAGATGGATTTGTAGCTGGCTGACAAACTGTACTCAATGAGTAGTCCTCAATGGTACTACATCCACATGGAGAGAAGCAGTGGGGTACCACAAAGCTCCATCTTAGGCCCAGTACTCTTCAATATCTTCATCAATGACTTAGATGAGAGAATAGAAGGGGAACTCATCAAATTTACAGCTGACACTAAACTGGCAGGAATAGCTAATACCCCAGAAGACAAGCTCAAGATCCAAAAAGATCTTGACAAACTTGAACAATGGGTCCTCTCCAACAAAATGAGTTTTATTGTGGAGAAAAGCAAAGTTTTACATTTAGATAGGAAAAATCAAAGATATAAGTACAGATTAGATGAGACATGGCTCAAAAACAGTAACTGTGAGAGGGACCTTGGAGTCCTAGTGGACTATCACTTGACTATGAGCCAGCAATGTGCAGCAGCAGCCAAAAAAGCTAATACAATCCTGGGTTGTATAAACAGAGGCATAGAACCAAGATCACACAAAATATTAGTACCGCTTTATAAAACCCTAGTGAGACCACACCTGGAATACTGCAACCAATTTTGGTCACCATGCTATAAAAAAGATTTTGAGACCTTGGAAAAAGTTCAGAGAAAAGCAACTAAGATGATCCAAAGCCTGGAGATTAAAACATATGAAGAATGGCTGCAGGACTTGGGTTTGGCTAGTCTAAAGAAAAGAAGAAATAGGGGAGATATGATAGCAGTATTCCAGTATTTGAGAGGCTGCCACAAAGAAGAGGGGGTCAAATTATTGTCCAAAGCACCAGAGGGCAGGACAAGAAATAATGGTTGGAAACTGATCAAAGAGAGAAGCA